TTCAGTCCATACTGTCACATCTTACTCCAAATAAATTCTGTTCTTTCACCATCGATAGCAAGTGTTTTTAGATAAGCACAAGTGCACACTCAAGTAAATACCCTGTGAAAAGAATATTCAGCAGGCTGTGGAATAATGATCAGCTCTGCAGTTCCCACTGGAGCATGAAAAACACTCTAAACATCCTTTAGTTGCCATAGAACAGCAGTTTGTGCTACACAGGCTACAAACAGCTATAACCAGCAACCTGGAAAATGCAAGGTTCTCACAGAGCACCTGATCCAGAAATACCCAGACAGGGAAATCAGTTCACCTTTGAGGTCTATAAGAGCAAAATACAAGAAAAAGATACATACAAGCAGAATATATTCATAGCTCAACTCAACTAAAACCTTCTCTGATACAGCTGGCAAAGTAATTTGGAAAAGGAAGAATGTTTATGAAAAGCTCCTTAACAGAACAGACCATTTTTGAGTTACAGGCAGACAAATGCTGGATAAAAATAATTTTAAAACACAGTAATTTTTATGTTGCCTCTAAATAAAATGTCATTTACTAACAACAACAGCAAAAAAAAAAAAAAAAGACTAGAAAGCAAACCAAAAATTGGAAAATTTCCAAAATATTATCACAATTTTATGATACATGAAAAATGTTCAGATTAAACCAAATAGGCCAAATAATATGAGAAAAGTTTTATACAATGAGACTTTTTTATCTCTATCTAACATGTAGCCTGTCAGAGAAAAATCAAGTCATTGCATATCTCACACAGTTAAAAGGAACTCCCTGTGACTGGTTTTGGTAATTGCTCTGCTATTTGATAATATTTAGGAAAGCATTTCTGCTAGCAGTGCAAGAAAATGCCACTATTTAAATTGAAGTTTGTAATGCCAATATTACAGTATTTTGGGGTATTTGGATTGGTTTACTATAATCACTGAATAATATTATTTACAAAATTTTTTAAATTTACAATCTGACTTTTCACTTGTTGCAATTTTTTCCTATTATCTCTTAAGATAAATATGAAATACTTACACAATAGGAGTTTGAGGCATTTGCCTGCATCTGTGCCTGAAAGTCCTCCTGAATACACAGATGTTCCAAAGTTACTGCATCATATTTGCTTTCTCTACTTGATTCTTAATTCAAGTTCCATAACACTCTTAAAACAAGCTGAGAGGTTATTAGTCTCTTTAGTCTTGGTTTAAATGAGTGTCTGTATTCAAATAACTGAATTTGGCAAAATTAAAAGAATAAAGTTACCAACAATAACTTGTGCTAAAAGAAATCTCCCAAAACGGCAACAGTTTCATAGGCTGTGTAAATTTAGAGAGAAGGTACAAGAGCTATAATAACCAAATAAAGCAGGATTTATTTGTGCTGTAATGCATGTGGAAAGGAAGTGAAAAAAGTTTTCTTCAGCTTGACCTCTGCAACACAACAGGCTTTGACTGTTCTTGCCCTTTGAAAGAACAGTTGCATTAGAAGCCCTTCAAGAAGGAAATCGTTCAAGAATGGATGAGATGGATTGATGCCAAAGCATTCTCTCATTACTCAGACCATTATGCATCACCAGAGCATCCTTCCACATGCAAAAACACAGTGGCTTCAGTTAGACATGGAACAGATTGTTCAGCTCATCTTCAGTAATAACATTAGTTAGCTACTAATGAATTGTGAAAAAAAAAATCTCCAATTTCTGTGCAGCACTGCATCGAGAATTGTAAGAAATGATACGTACTGCATGGCAACAGGCAGAGGTGCAGTAGTAAGATCAAGCTTTTTTATCCAAAATGAAGTTACAGATAAAGCTACATCACAAGCCCAGGCTCAGGCACTACATAGTATGAATCTGCATTACTTTCACATACTTCTTTTATCTTAGCAGTTTCCCCTCAGACAACTTTCCTCACATCTGCAGAATACTAATTTATTTTCAAACCCCCATCAAAAGTACTGCACGTGTTTCTAACCAAACCTTTGGGATTTCTCTTTGGGCTTCTGTTGTGGCAAGATTTTCCTATTAAACCATTGGAAAGCAGAGATCTGTCTTTATAATGGGTCCCCTGTACCTTCCATCCTGAAGATTACATCGGGAGCAGGGCTTGCTGTAAACCACAACAGGCTCCAGACACATCCAAATCCTGCAGGCTTTAAGTGTACCCTTGTATCTCAATTCTTGTGTGAGTTTAAGATAGCAGAAGCTTCCTTTACAGCAATTTTGTTACATGGGAGAACTGTGTCCCCAGAGAACAGAAGTTTATTTATTTGATGCTTAAAAAGTAAACCAGAGAGGGCATGTAGCATCATCCGTAAATCCCAGAGAAAGCTGGATAACCTGCTAAGCCTCTCCCATTCCTCTTCTGAACCACAAGAAGTAGAGCAGGATGTGCAAGTCATATGCTCTCTAAATAAAGGCCACACAGAGTTTTGCATGCAGAAGATCTTTGCTCTGTAGATGCTCTTAAAGCCTCTTGACTTATTTATGAGGAGCAAAGAAACACAATTTGTGCATTTACATCACATACCTGCGTGTTTCCAAGAAAGGCCTGAGGGCAAGTGCTTTCATTTCAGCCAGCATATAAAGCTCATCCTTTTGTGGTTGTATTTCCCAAGGTTGGTTTTGTAAAATGAAGCTTCTTGAATTTTAAATAATGGATTATGGTAGAAATATTTTTAAAGGTCTATTTAAAATGAAAGACAAAACGCAACTAGGTATGAGCAGCCTTGTTCTTTGTAGCAGACTTTAAGCTGTAATGTGAGGCCATCAAGCAGAGATAAAAATTAGGTACTGCTGTGAATCAGCCAATTCCATTATGCTGCTTCATAACCAGAGGTTAAAAAACCCCTTAGCAGGGAAATTGTGCCTCCCCAGTCATTTTTAACACACCCTGAAATATTCTGAATTCTTACAGGCAATCCACATTTGAGCTTTGAGGACACCTGGAGACATGTAGCAGTACAGAAACAAGACTGTAATTCAAATTTTTCTCTGCTTCAGGAAATAGCTTCACAGGCCATACTCATCTCTGTACAATATTCCCTTTCATATTTACTTACACTCTTCTGCTATTCCTCCCCTTGTTCTCCTCTCAGGAATCTTCTATCCACTGGTTCTTTCCCTTTTGTTTTATTGCAAGTGCTCTTTCAAAATGCAGTAACTGATAAAAATATCTCTTCACTGCCCTCCTTTCTCAATGTTTTTTGAGCCTAATTAGGAGTGTCATATGAAGAAGGATTCTAAGAGGAAGTGAAAAATCGTTGCATAACTGCCAAGGATGAGCTTTACAGTTAAGGGCCATATTTCAGTTATGGGTCTATCACTGCACTTTAACTTTCCCAAATTAGTAGGTCAGTGCAAAAGTAAATCCCTCAACCAAAACTTGGAAGAGAGAAAAAAGCTGATTCACACTTGTAGCTGGGTGAAGATAGAAGAAAAAATTTCCACTATTGGACACTGAAAATGTCTTTCAGAGTTGTTTAACATATCTTATAATTTCTAATATTTTGGTTAGAAAACTAAACTGAAATTTACCTCAGCCATACTAAAGCTATTTAGTGATTTGAAGGCATCCTGTTCACAAATGAAGAAAAGCTGTAAGAATGAGGTGTCTTACACTCTGTACTCATGTTAACCTGACCCAGCACCTTGTATATTGAGCAGGAAGTATAGTTGAATCCTTACTAAATAAATGAATCCACTGACTTCAATTAATGGCCCATAAACACAAGCTACAACTTGTTATTTCATTCTGCAAGTCTGCAAATAAAATCTGAATTTTAGGGGATGAGCTTTAGGAAGCCTGATGTTTTCACCCTGATTCTACCCAGTGCATATCACCATCACAGCAGGGATTGACTATTCCCTCAGGCACTTTCAGAAAACACAACTGTAGAGGACACAGGATCAAGAGAGAAAAGGCCCAAGAGAGTTTGGTCTGCATAAACTTTTTGTACAGTGCCTGGTTTAGCTGGACCTACAAATACAAATTCAGAAGTATTACCTGTTTCCAAATCAAAGGGGAGCACTTCACATGAATAACAGTGAAGAGAACACCTGGATCCAGAGAAGACAAAAATATTAACAGCATCAACAATAACAAAATATTCTTGCTATTGACCAAACAGGCAACACACCTAACATAGAATTTAAATCTTGATTCTAGAATTTCAAGTTTGATTCTAAGTTGGTTCCACTTTTCCTCAATTATCTTACAGTAAATCCCATGACTTCTGTACTTGTAGTCTTCTATCAGAAGAATCTGCTTTTGGATATAGTGCAGGAATCAGTTCAATAAGAACCACTAGAGCAACAAACCTGTTCTCCAGTGGCCTCCCTGACATTGGATATGCCCCAAAATCCCAACTCTTATGGGTAGTTAGAAGGGGAATAAGCATCCAGCTAAGATTAAGGGACTTAGGGATAAGGTTTTGTTTCATTTCAAGATGCTTTCAGCAGAAGTTCTGCTATGGCTTTCCTCCTCATCAGCTTCCCAGTTTGACTTTGTGAAATTTGGATTGATCAGTTGCATAATATCAGATATGGCAACAGGACAACTGCAATTTCCAATTAATTGGATCAAAGACCAACACAGGATTGAGTATCCTATGCCATGTCTGTGGATGAGGGGGATACCATAAAAAAGTTATATGGAAAGGCACCAAACCCAGTTACAGCTGTACTTATGACAGTGAATTTGTAGCTGCATTTCTTAGTGTGAAAGGAAATGTATCTGTTTAGCAAATTCAAACCACAAGCACGCTGACAGCAATACAGAATCTGTTACAAGTGACAGGGGCTATTCCCAACTGTCCCTCAAGCAGGCAGGTTGCACTTCCTTAGCAGACAAATGCAAATTGGTTCTACCCCCAGTAAGGAGTAAGGAATTCGAGTTTCTCCTCTGGAAAATATTAACCCTAAACAAAAAACTGAATCTTCCAGTAGGCTAACAGGACTCTAGAAATAAAAGGAAACATCACAAGATTTTAGGAGGTGCTGAAACATTTGTTTTGAAGTTTTATTACAAAAATATATTTGCAAACATACAAAATTTTGGATGAAAAAAATGTTCATTCTTAAACATTTATGCAATAACTTAATAACTGCAAACATACATAGGTGCTATAAAATCCATACCATACCAAAAACGTTAATGATGCAGTATCTACATTTACTGACTTACAATTATTCCGGTTTCCAGAAATCTTTCCTGAAGCTCCCTTCCCCATGGTCTTCATATTGAAAGAACATGCAAATGGCTACAACTGGTGCATCCACAGAAGTGATTAAAACTCAGAAATTACTAAAGCACATAGTGTACATAAAAAAACCTAACTAACCATATGTCCATACACTGAATAGATAAAAATAAATACACCACCAAATCAGAGATACTGCAGTTTTTCAAATTTGAAGTGAAAAGAAGATATTGCATCTTAACATTTTCGTAACATTGCCAGACAAAACTGAGGTGATACATATTGCACACATTCCTCCTGTTAAGATATGCTGTACAAAGCAACTCAAATACCTGGCAAAAAGGTGGCTGATTTGTTTAGAATACTTTTAAAAACCAACAAGTCCCAAATTAAAGTTTGCTTTCCAGAGTATTTCAGCAATTGTATCAGTGGCTACACATGGCATAATGTGTTTCAGAAATAAAGCAAAATGAAGTAATTAGAAATGCAAGCAAAAATGAGAAACATCCAGCAGTGTTTAAATGCAATACTGAGCATTTATACAGAGAATTAAACAGTTTCTATGAAATCAAGATGCATCACTTAAATTTTTTTTTTGAAACTTTATCACTCATTCTGCAAATCTTGTTTAATCTGGAAAGATATACTGCTTCTAAACTTATTAGCTGTTAGGCACCTTTCATATAAACTTTGCATTGTAAATAACAGCAGAGAAAGTCTAACTACAAAACTGAGAATTTTGATTTTCCTGAACAATTAAGCAGCTGTAGGTTTTAAAACTGTCTTTTATTATGTTTGAGTTTGGACTCTCATTTTTTTCCCCAGAAGTGACTTAACATGAGCCACAAAACACATGCTTAGATAAGAATTAATTTGGGGAGTACAGTCTGAACTAATAATCTTTAATTCTCAGAAATAACAGGTAAAATCCCATTAAGCCAGTAGCTAAAAAAATAACAAAACCAAAAAATCAAAATCACTTGAAAATGGTCACAATCATTTCCTGTGATGACCCCTGGTAACTTGCTACACCCTGGTTATCCCTACATGTGGAAAACATGAATCAAGCACTTCAACAAGCTGGTAATTTTAAACTTATACAAAAAGTTAAAATAATTAGGAAAAAAGAAGTTTTTAAATATACAGTCCACATTTAAAAAAATATTCAAATTTTACACTATAACTGAGCTTGTGTTCTACAATTAACTCTTCATGCAAGGAGTTTATCTGTTAAAGCCACTACCCTGGCACTTGTCAAACCTCTGCAGTGCTGGGCGACACCCAGGTTGGTTCCGTGTCCGCTGCCACTGAGGCTGGGACAGGCAGAGCTTGGAACAAACACGTGCACGTGTCCGAGATGAACAGTTTGTCTGCTGGCATTTCAACTCTGGTTCTCTGCCAGTTCGTTCTGAAAGCTGGGGCAGGGGAGTAAACCAAGAGTCTGCTGCTACCAGGACACTACAAAACCAAAGTCAAGGAAGAATCTGCCACTGCTTGTTTCCAGCTGGCCAGGCACCCTCAAAACTTAAGGATATTCAGAGTAGTATTACTTTTGTCAACTGTAGGTGGCTGAAGAACTCAAAATACAACTCCTTCATATCATTTCTACAGGTCTTTGGATATGACTGTATTTAGCAAACAGCACCCATGAACACTATCAGCTTCCAGCATTTCTATTCTTACAAACTTTTACCAAATCTTTCTTTGAAGAAACTGTAAGCTGCCCACGAGAAGTGAGAAGGCATCTTTGCTAAATCCAGATAAAAGCAACTCTCTATTTGGTTTAGACTGTCCATTTTTGTCCAGAGGAACTGCTCATTGGTTTGTCCCTTTTAGTGAAACTTTTCCTAAAAAACCCAACAAAAAAATTAATTTAGACCTTAGATCTGAGTCTCACTGTCTATGTGCATACACAGTATTACAACTCTAGGATTTATGGAGGAAGGTTCTATCTTCCATAACAAGGCTGAGTTTATATTGCTGAATTCAAATGCTACTATTAAATCCAATATATTTCTTGATGAATGTGCATGACATTAGCATCTTTCCCTGAATCTTGCACGTTTTTCTAACAATACAGTATGTATTTTAACTGGAAACACTGAACTCAAAGGCTGAGAAAATATTTTCAGAAGGCAGGTAGTGCTAAACAAAATATATTTTCCACTAAAAAGCTATGAAAAAAACTAAAATAGATCAAATACATAAAAATGTAAATATTTGTTGTATCTAAAACATCCCAATTTGTGAACAAGTCACAATTAAAGCTCAGTTACTAGTTTCCAATGAAATGGCCATGCACCTTGACTATGGCAATATTAACTAATCCTTAGGATATATATATCATACATATATGTTGCAAGGAGCCAAACAATATTTTTCCTCATATTTCAATAGTGCTTGAGGGAAAAGAACAAAGCAGTGCATCATAACTCACTACAGATTATCTTTTTACTCAATAACCCAACAGTTTTCTACTGAAAAAGCATCCTTTAAAACTACTATTGCTGGAGAAAGTTGGGAGCTGGAGTCAGATTAATCACCTCTGCATGCCTTTAAGAAATAAATACAAGCCATGGGTAAACCAACACAGCAGCATAAGAAAGTATAATTAGAAATTTTCCAATTTCAAATGGGAAGGTAACCAGTTAAATTCTTAGTTAGTGAACAGGGACTTACTAAATCACATATACAAAGCAATAACATTTTAATTAGATAAACTTCAGACTATGAAGTGTGCACTAACAATCTGGGGAGAGGGCAACAGAAGAAAAGCATGCATTTGTTTCCCATCTGCATAGTCTTCAACACTGCAGTTCCAACACAACTGAGGAATGAAAACCAACTATGATGTGGTCCATCCTTAAGCTAAAAGGGAACAAAGTATTTAAATTTTATCAAACACCGCTGAAGAGGAAGAGGGTTTTCCAGTGGTGGTCTCCTAACTATAAATTTAAAACAAGAGAACTTCAACATGCAACAGAACTACTTTAAAAAAAATTATACAATCACTGAAGATTTTGCATATTTCAGATTTTCCTTTTTAGAGAAAATGGCCTTACTCACTTGGATACCTGTTTAATGCAAGTAACACAAAAGCAAGTAAGATTAATGAAATATTGAAAGATGAATTTACGTGCAATAACTGCAGACTGTCAATGTATTGAGCAAATCACATTTTTAGACCTTTTGTTAAAGATTTAGCTCCAAAGGCCTGGCTTCCAGATCTGTTCCTTCCCCACACCTGCCAGTTTAATCACAAGGCATTTTGTTCTCCTTTTCCTTAGTCCTTCAACTGGAACTAGTTTCCCACAACTGAATTCTGTCTTGGTGTGCTGTAGTGTACTGTACTGTGTGTTTGCTGGTTGAAAGAGTGTTGAGTCTGTAGTCCTTGAACAGTGAATACAGCTGGGAATGAGAGCCAGAGCAAACATTTGCACATTCACTTAATGCTAATGAGAGCTCAAATGCAACTTAAGTTCCCCCCCAATAAAAGAAAGGTTTGCTGGTGATGATCACAGTGAAAACCTAGATCACTTCTGAGAACATTACTTTCATAACTATTTAAGGAATAGTCTTTCCTAACAGGTTCAAATTCAAGACATTGAAAACTAAATATTCTTTTACAAAAATATTAGTTTTATAGATGAGGCATAATTGTTTCTAAAATGGACACATTTTAAATAGATTCAGCTTCAATTATAGCTTAATGTTGTCTGTACTCTTGGTTAGGACTTGCAAGTAGACTTCATGGATAGTGCTGAGAAAATGGGAATCATTCTGCAGGAAAAAAAAGAAGCACATTAGAAACATTAGTAAAAAGATGCAAAAAAGTTTAATGCCTTAGTAAAAAGAAGCAAGAAAGTTTAATTTAATGCCTAAGTTGTGCATAAGGATTCCTTACAGTGGCAGCTGCCAGAGTTAAGAGAAGGGAAGTAGCTGGACACAAGAGGCAGTGCTGTTTGAACCCCTCACGGGCTGTGAACCACAGCGCTGGTCACACAGGTGAAGGGATCACTGAGCACACTGGATGCTCAAACAAACAACCTTTCACATTTCACTTCCCTCCAGAGTCCAAACCTTAGTCTTAGACACAAAGAATTTCATTCTGTGTACAGGTTCCCAAATACAGTCTGCCTGAGCATCACAAGTGATGGTACTTCTGTCTGTCAGAGCAGCCTGAATGGGGCTGCAGTGTGTTCTACAAGAACACTCAGGGCAAAGCATGACTGAGCAGTGGATTAGTTTAACTTAGAGACAATATTTAGAGATATTTTTTGAGTCTAATTCATTCACATGACAAGTTTACAGAACTGGTATCTAACCAACTGGCTTGAGGGTGTAATATTCTCTTTACAAGATTGAACAGCACATTTGGTATCCTGCTTGGAGTGCTGTGTGAGTACTCCCGTGCTGCAGGATATGCCTATTTTGGTCTTCATTCAGCTCTCTCTGTAAAGACTGGAGACAAAGATTCCTGTCAGCTCTCTAAAGTCACCACTCAGACTACTGGCACTTAGCCTTGGTTGCAAGACTAGTTTAAGTCTTTAACAAGAAAAAACATACAAACCAACACAGGAAAAGGTTACGTAAAATGGAACAAGAGATAAATCAAGCAACCTTGTGATGGGATCTGGCAGTGGCCCTTTTTGGTCCTAAAACTTGACCACTGGGAAGATATTGTTTGTTATTTTTAGACTTGCATTTTGAGTGTAAGCTCTGCACATCAGCATGGAGAGGGCAAGAGAATTCCAAGTTAAGAAAGAACCCTCTGTCATTCATGGCAACTTCACGATGGCATTAGAGGTCAAAATCATCTCAATGCATGGCTGCTTCCCAACATCACAGGCTTAATGCAACTGAACTTTTTAGTCCCTAGAAATAGCAGAAGTAAAACTTTGCAATTTCCATTTCAAAGAAACATACTTCAGGTAAAGATGAGGACAGGTTCTAGGGAACTGAAAACAGCTTTCCTTGGGGAAGCAGAAAACTTACAAAGACAGCAAAATCAACTCCCCCCATCCCCACACCAGCTTCTACTAGTGCATCACTTATTCATCACTTGTCTACAAATTCATATGGATGTGAGAGGACACATCTCATGAACTCTGTTCTAATTGCTCCACATCTCAACCAAGAGGAGCAAACTGTGCCATACTATGTGCACAGTGTGGAGTAATTCCAAGACAAAAGAACGTATTTTGTAATGTTTCAGAGCAAAAGGAGTTACAGGGGTATGGAATTGCTCAGTGCTGGCTTCTGTACTTGGAACTCTCCCTCAGAGATTGAGCTCTGTATAGACAGTACCTTTATTAGATGTATCAGTGCTTCTTGCAGCTGAGACCTACTGAGAACAGTAGGAGGTGTAGTTTGAATTTCTGTTGTTCCAAGTGTTAAAGGCGAAGAAGAACTGGCTTTATTCTCCACTTCAGTAGCCTTTGTAGCTGATTGCTGAAACACACTGGGAGACAAGAGGACTGAAGGTGTTACTGTTGTCGTGGCTGTAACAAACTGTGGAGGTGCGACCTGTAAGAGAACAGAAAATTAATAAGCACCATTTCCAGTAAGAATGAATGATGTTGTAAAGGCTGGAGAGATGAGCATAAAGAAAATTAAATAAATTGTAGCCACAATATTTCAGTCAGATATTACAAAATAGGTGCTGTTAATTAAGAACTATCTATCTATGAAGATTAATACCAATAGTAATTCTCATTTTCAAAGCTAAAGAAGGTAGCAGCCTTGAACATGCTTGCATGCAGACTCCTTGCTACCTTCCAGAATTTTTGAAACATAACACATATAATGAAAGATGAGCTTTTCACTGAGCTAATCAAAGGATTCAGTAGCTGTTTTGCAGATTATTATTTTCCTTGGGGGTTCACAGAAAGGCAGTCCTGCTTCCTGCCTCCCCTGCTTCTGTGGTCTCCTACAAATATTTTACTTCAAATTCAAAATGTATCTCAAAAATATTTAAAGAGATTGCTGAATTATAATTAAATTCTTGGAGTACACTGAAATACTCTCATTTTAAGTACATTTTCCCTTGTGGGGAATATGGGATGGGAATATTTTGAGGACCATCATCCCACCTCATTCTTCCACAGGTCTGTCTCCATTTCATGACAAAAATCCACATACTGCCTTTACCACTTTTCCTTTTAAACAAAAATTGCAAATTTATAAGACTACTATATTTGCATAAAGTGAACATGAGTAAACATCTGCTTTGAGCAGCTCTGCCATCTCCTGATAACTGCAATCTTAGTCAGTGTCATAATCAATGTCTTGCTCGGGCCTCCAGAATGACCAACGTGGTGAAAGAAAAAAGAAAATAAACAAGCCAATCTCACTCAAAAGAAAAGCAACACTAAATGTGATATATATAGATATTTGATATGTCAGTAAAAGGAGTTCCCCTTGGATAACCAAAGATTTTCAGAAGAAAAAACCCTCCCAAACCATCTGAAGTTAATGTGTATTTAATAACATCAAGAGCAGCAGAACCAGAAAACTGATTTTGTTGTAGTCAAAACTGTGAAGACTCATAGCGTGGGATTTCAGCTGAAGACAATGTGTTTAAACCCACAAATGCAGTTTACTACACAACATGCACACATTCCTTAAAATTCCCAAATCCATATAAAATGTTTTTAGTTCGGTTATTATTTACTAACTGGGTCATGAACAGACTGTAGATCTTATCTCATAGCAGGCCAGTAGCTAGAACAGCATTTTACTTTAAGTAGCACCATTTTTACTGCCTTCACAATCAGATCTGGGCATGCTACTAAAACTGCTTTCATGTAGTGCAAGTTTGACAAGAATGAGGCAATTTTCAGAGATTTGAAAAAGGAGGGGGTGGGTAAAGGAAAAGTAGAATTAAATTACAGATGGTATCCTAAAAATAACACATAACAAAAAGGTAATTAAAATAATTCTTGAAGGCTTGACTATTACCAGTTATTTTTTAACTGCAATCTGAAATTTAAAACTGACATTATTTTGAACTCTTACCCAAGACAGTTCTAATAATGTTAAATCTGAATTTAGATCAGTAAAACTTGCTATTAGACAGTCTTGCAATAACAAATGCTTGTTATTCTTTTCTTCCTCCATCTTCCATTTCTTTCACTTTGTATCTTTTCATAAAATACAAGGTTACCACAGGAAAACTAAGTGACAGTAAGGCAAGGGCTACATTTTATGCCTCTGGGGTGCTTAAGGCTGGGTTAAGGCAAATAGACCCTGCTACAATATTATGGCATTAGTACTGCTTGTTTGAAACATTAAAAAAACCCAGTTCAAATGGTGTGAACTCATTGCGAGGCTGCAAATCCAAAAATGTGTTCTCATTTCCACATTAGAACCAACAATAAGAGGCAGTCGAGAACTCCCCCTTCCTTTAGTGCAGCTTCTTTCTGCTTCATAACAGCTCTTTAAAAATGGCCAGTGGGTGATGACTATTTGAGATATCAACAGTGAACCACAGCTGGGTTTTCTCTTTTCTAAGAAAACCAATAAACAATTAGCAGAGGTTGTTCACTTACTTGACTTGCCTTAGACAAAGTCTTTGGCTGTGGAAACACTTCTGGTTCTTTGTTTTGCTGTACAGTCTAAATTAAAAAAAAAAAAAAAGAAAAAGGAAATTGTTAATTTTATACTTTTAAATAAGGTACAGGGTCCACTTCCACAGCATCACCCCTGGCAACACTCATGAGCCTGTGACCTTCTGTCCCTTCTCAGATCAGCAGCTCTGAGCAGTCTGTTTATGACACAAGTACAGGTGAATTCTTTAGGACCCACTCACCACCCACTAAAAGCACCAATTTGAAAAACCTCCTCCTCCTCTACAGACAGGTCTGTCACTGGTAGCAGATGCTAATGATATAGAACTAATGGAACTGAATGTATGACTTGGCAATTCAATCAATATCACACAGTGGAAGTCCTTCATTATTTTTAAAAGGCTACTATACAACAGCACGTTTCCAAGGGAAAAATACACATAGGCTAAAAACAGCCTAAAACTTCAGGGATATCAGAATACCTGAAGGGGAGGGATTATCTTGCTGTTCAAGGCTGATGGCTTAGTGTGAGATTCTTTGAAGCTCTCTGGTGTTGCAAGTTGGCCAACCGAGGCAGAGATGTTCGGTGTTAAGGACGTTTTAGTGAGAGACTGCTGTTGCATTTGGTCATGCTGTGGGGTCAACCTGAGTTTCTGGAGAAGATCAACACTTGTATGAGATGGATTTGAGACAGTTCCCGTGTTGGTTGTTGTCAAGGGTGCTATGAGCTGGCTTTGGCCAGCCATTAGGTTTTGTGGAGCGTGGTTCCCCTCAGACGGCGGCTGATTCACCAGTGGGGATATGGGCTTGGCAGCTTGCTGCATAACTTGCATTATACTGTTGCTTTGTTTTAGGCCAGGAAGCATCTGAGCAGGGGCAGCTTCCATTGTCGAGGCTGAATTAAGAACAGGGCTTAAACGAACTGAATAGCTTGAAACATTTTTTATATCAGGCTGGGACACCGAAGCTGGAGGCATTAGCATAGGTGTTAAACAGTCCTGCTGATTGGCACTGGTTTTAACGCCTGGACTTTCTGATTTCCCTAGGGATTGTTGCATTACTGGTGACTGGTCAAAGGAAAAAGGCAAAAGCAAACTGTGCTGCTCTCTGGCAGATGCATCTGTCTGCAGCTTCTCCATTCTCTCTGCGTTGGGATACGGAGCAGTGGGCTGTTCCTTTTGTACAGAGGTTCCAAACAGTTCCTCCAAAGTCAGATGCTTCTGCCTTGACTGAAATGGCTAAAAAGAAGGGAAAAAGAAGTTTTAAGCTTAGAAATATAGACAGCACTGTGCAAGTCCCAGGGTCTATTACAAATTCAAGAAAACTACAAGAGACAACTAGGTCAAATGCATGTAAAATCAAGTGTGCCCTATTTACAGGAATTTTGAAATTAATTTAATTTACGAGGAACATCCTGGCTATGGATGTTTTTTCTTTACAGCCTTCCTGGGACAGACTGTGCACTAGCAGTAAGGAAGGGAGAAGGCTATGGACTGTGTCATGAACATGGCACCTGCCATCATCCATCAGCCAGAACTACACAAGGCATTCTGGGGGGATGTGGGGAAAAACAGACATGTTGAACAAAATCCTCACTGAATTTATGAAGCTGGAAATAATGAAACGGCCTAAAAGATGGGAAAGGAACACAGAAAATAGAAGCTACACAACTGAACTAGCAATACATGCCTAGACAGTTTCCCTCACCCTTTTCATTAACAATGCAATAGATGTCACGATAGGTAAAAGAATCTGTATACACCTAAACATATGTGTATATATCTCCTTGAAAAGTGTGTATATATATGTAGACAGTTACATCTACCAGTCCTTTAAGTCTCTCCCAAAAATATGCATCTAGCTACACCACTGACATTGTTAGAAAAATATGATTTTAAGGATATCATCTTCTTAATATTTTACTGAAAATATTTTAAAATGTATTTTACTAAAGAGAAAAGAAACAACTATTAATACCACCCATAATCTCAAAATTTTCCTTTCTTTCCTTTTTTTTTTTTGAGGTTGCACAGGACTAGAAGTTATGTAAAACAGCTGGACTGAAATACAACATTCTGTTCAGAAGCCTGAATGGCCTGCAGCACAATTCCAGTGTATTCTGATGGTATGTCTAAACAAAGACACTACTTCACAATGACAACTACTGTACCATGACATTGCTCTGCTGGCTCCAATTTTGCCAGCACAGATAACAGCAGTGAAGCCATGGCAGTACAGGTGCCTAAAAAAACCTTGGGCTTGAAATCACACTCACTTTTGCCCTTGTTACTCACCTCTACTGCCATTGTTACTCTTTTTTAGCCAGCTTCTAGTCAGGCACACTTTCATTTTGCAGCTGAGACATTCTGTAGTTTATAAACCTTGTTAATTATGTTAGGAATTTTTTCCTAGAAAGTTGTTCTTACTTTCCTCCACTGGTATTACTGTTCCAGAGACCTGTGCTTCAACTATTAAGATTCCATTAAGAGAAAAATCACTGTTCCAGATCATTTCAAACTCTGCTTTTGACTTCAGTATGATTAATTGACTAACTTTCCTTTATTAATACATTACAACAGTCAAGTAATCAACTGACATCTCTGCCATGCTCTTGAGCCAACTCAGACCAGCCCCCTTACATGGATAGTCTCAAACATGAAGTTAGTTTCCAGCATGAAGTACAAACCACACCTTTTGCCTTGTCCATCTCTGGCTGAAGTATACTTTGACCATATCATCAACTCAGTGTGTCATGAAGACAGGTCAGCAGGGGTTGCAAAAAGGCAACATGACCACTTTATTTGATAGGAACAGAGTGCAGGTGCAGCTGCTGCTGCTGCTGCTCAAAGGGTTTCTCCAGAAATCATTTCAGGTAAGTTAAACTTTACAGTACGACCTCTGACTGCCAATTCAGGGTTCAGTATCAGTGTTCTGGTTCAGTTTTGCTGATTGCTGGCATGAAAGCATTGCATGATACAACTGATTTTAATTTTGAATGGCCAAGATACAACACTTGACTTCACAGTATCATAGAGCAGACGTTTATTTTTATTCCCAAACATGTGGTATCTTCAGCATGAGATGAAGTTAGTCAATCAACATGCAAGTGTGACATTTTGGAGGGAGTTTAGGAATCTCACCATACTTAGCATATGCACACTATTTTTTAGGCATCTGTTTCAATTAGATGAAAAATGTATTTTTATAGTTGAAATGGAATGTCTTTCCAGTAGTCTTCCAGTTGTCCACATTAAAAATGTGGCTCAGCACCAACACAACTGTGATATATTCAAAGCCAGTTAACTGGCTTTGCAGAATTATCATTTATGCTACCCAAGTAATTTTTTCCAGTATCTCTGCAGCTAATATTTTAAATAGCTCAACAGAATTAAAAATATGACATTTTACATGTTCTATAAATCGACTTTCCCTTTAATTAATCCAGAGCAATTTGTAAGAATCTAATCTTTCCAGTTTTTCCTTTACTAGTTATTTGATTCCTGTTCCACAATTCCATGTGCTGTCAGGTGGAGCACTTCAGCTGATTTTGTACAGTCTATATGGAATGACTCAAAAGAAAATATCTGCTTTTAAAGCAAAGCCTCAGGCAACTCTGCTGCCAGGTCTCCAGACTGGCATGCACCAAGCAGAGCTGCCAGGGGTCACTCCAGCACTTATGCTGACCCAAAAGCAGAGGTGCTGTGATAGCGAATACCCCAGCAAACTCCCCACCCCTTATTTTAATTCATTAACTGTTCCTGCCCCATCCCCTAAAACAGATTCCTGCTGCCCATACCCCAGCCTTAACTGCACTAGAAACTACTACTACTCCAAACTAAGTATTGTGTTTAAAAGTACTAAGTGCAAGGTTGCCCACATTTTCATAGGGCACTTCATTTCTCCAACACGGTGGTTTATTGCATCACAAACACACCAGTGAACTACGGCAGGGAACTAAAGCTCCTGTCCTCTGTGGGGCATCTTCTGAGGAGCACCAGCACTGCCCCTGCTGTGCCCACTGGGTGGCACTGCAAGCAGGCCCAAGGCACTTCATGTCTTACTTATTGCGGAATTTACTTTTTTTCCTAAATTTATCTCTAAAATGTCTTGTATGAAGCTACAGCTTCCTTGTGCAGGATGGTAGCTGTAACTTCGAAGGCAGCACAGACAAGCCTTAAGGTCTGAGACACGAGAACTCAGGGCTTTGAGCTCATGTGTGAAAGGCTGCAACATTATGTCCACCTGACTGATTCACTGCAATACTGTGGCACAGGCCAGTTTTTCTTGCTTCCCGTCTCTCAAGTCATCCTGCACATTACCACAGTCTGACTTCTTCCAGAATTCAAGCTGGCCCATTTAAACATACTTGGATATTCACAGCAGTGTGGACATTTCCTCATATTTTTAAAATGCTAAGTCAAAAGACAGAATTTAGGATCCTAAAAGTCTTCAAACTCATTAGTTTATTAGTGATAATACATTCAGCAGAAAACACTGCAGGCATTCTACCAAACAAACCAATTTTAGTACTGAAACAAAGTTCTAAATGGGGAAAAAAAAAAGAGCCCTTCATTTAGGGTTGGATGAAACATACCTGCTCTTGCACTTGTAATGAAGGCTTTTGTTCTGAAGGCTCTGTGCTTTCTGGCTTTGGAGGATTTGAATTTTGTTGCATTCCACAACTTGATACAATACTTAAGTCACTGATCTGATTCTGAGGGGGCAAAAAAGAAAATAATTAATATAAATACATAGGTTTAAAATCTGCATTTACCCACTATACAATCCTGTTTACATGGCACTTGGACTGAAATACAGATGTACAAAGCACTGATTTTTGTGAGACACTGTCAAATTCACAAATTTTAGGAAATAAAAATCCTACCAAGACATCCAGAATCTGATATGTAGTCATAAAGCTCTTACTCTTTATTACTATATAAAAAACCCAAACCAAAAACAACTGGCTTTATACGTTTTCACCAAGAAAGAAAACTACATATTAAAGAAAAGGTGGGCTTTTCACATCCTGTGTCTGCATTAGCTCCTAATGAGGAAGTTTGCTGCACTTCTTTAAATCAAGAACCCAATCTAGGAACTGCTTAGAAAAAAAAATCCTGATGGAAATCACTCCAAGTGGCTTAAAGAGAGCTTGTCACCAGCTTATTTCCACCAGGTTTAACCAAACATGTACATATATTTTCAGGTGTTAATTTTCTGTGAACAAGACAAAAACAGACAAGCAAGTTGCACTATAACAGTCAGTATGTTTACAGACTGAGTTGACTTTCATCTTTAATAAATATATACCTAAACAACTATAGAAACTGTATTACAGTTTACATCACCACTGAAAAACCCCAAACTGTAGAACAATCCAGCTTTCAGTGGATAAACTACACCTTATGCATATGATATAGCTCAGCACTGGACAACACACAATGATTGCCCTGGTCACTTACAGCAGTAAAATACAGGTTAAACTTTTTAGCAACAGATTAAAAATCAATCTGAGCTTTATTCTTTTGCTTTCAAATTCTAATTGAAAGCAATAAATACAAAATCAAGACAATATATTGTGATTCAGGGATAGAGGCGAGAAGCAAATTGTCCCATCTTTCATTGACTTGAAGGTCAAAACTCTTTGTGTCTGAAATGCTGGAGGCCTTCTAGTCACAAAATCAGGAAAGGCAGCGTTCCTTTCACTAGAGGATGAGCTGCAGTATGTTTCCATGCTCATACTGAAATACACACCCAAACCACACTATAAAAAGCATCCATTCACTTCATTAAAAAAAAAAAAATTCAGAGTTCATTCATTTTCACATATGGGCTTGATGTAGTGTGTACTTGAAGGATTAAGCTGATTTGGAATCCTAGATTAAATCACTCAGACCTTCATAAATCTCTTTTTCACTCCCTCTGCCCCCTTCTCATGCTGACACTCTGCCAATCTCATGTGGGCTGCACACAAGGATTACTGTATGATCCATCTGGAATGTACCAGGCAGATAAGTACTTTCTGCTCCTAAATACAAATTCATGTGTAATTACCAAGTGCCATAACATTCCTTAAAAAGGAAAAATTAAGACAGGAGAGGTCTCTCAAGAAGCCATGCTCCAAACGAGTTGGTTTCTTTATCATGTTAAGGTCGGCACACCTTGGCTACAAGGAGTTCCAAGGTTAACGTGCCAGAGGTTTGCTCTTAAAGCTGAGGTGGTCAACAAAACATTCTCCAAAGAAGCTTGTTTGAAACATGACCAACATTGTTCAATTCTGCTTATCTGGCAACTGCTACACAACTACAGTCACAGAGGGCTATGATGGGATCATGTTGAACAGATCCAGCTTGCAGTTCATGTCACACAAAAAGGAAATGAAATCACCATTGCAGTTTCACCAGCATTCTAGAAGCATCAAGACATGATCACACACACACAAAACAACAAGAAATCAACCCCCCCAATTTTGAAGTAACTCTACTGTAACCTGTGCCCTGCATATTTCCTTGTTGTATTACTGATACCACATTGACTGTCCACTAAAAATAATCTGCACACACCCATTGCCTCTTTAACAGAATTTTACTTGTCCATGATTCTTGTAACTTTTTTTTCTAGCTTTTCAGTAGTCTCACATGAAAAAGATCTGAAAATTAGAAGACAACGTGGAATATCCCAAGTCTTTATAAGCCATCTGTTGGAAATGTGTATTAACCAATATTGCTTCATCACATCCTAAGAGGGCACCAAAACAGTGTGTTCTTGTGGTGGGGTTTTTTTTCCTTCTTTCCAAAACGACTTCAATTTCTTCAAATCTGTCTAAATTGATACACCACTGAAAGATGAACCGTTCAGGTTTTGATGTTTCCTTCTGTGATCTCACAAAAGGTGCTACTTCCACAACGCTGGCCTTCACACAAAGACCTCTTCTCCCCAAACAGCACTGAAGCACACACAGTGAGAATTAATTATTTTTTTAATCTGTATTTTAAAGCATTGAAAAAAGCAGGCTTTTTCTTGGAAATTAATATCTAGCCTGGGTCAAAGATATTGGATTGTTTGTCACATTCACCGGCCATCAAGCTACATGAGACAGTGACAAGATAAATTGGTTCATACAAGGCTAAACCCACATGCTTATTCCTTTCTCCTCATCTCACATTGTACTGTAACCACCTAGAATCCCACAAAGCCTCAAATCCCAAGTACTTAAAGGAACTCTGCTGCACAAGCAACTTCTGGAAGGAATCAAGCACTGCCACCAAGAAACCACAGCACAGCTCTGCAATGAAATACTCACACGTGGCTTTACTACTGCACATTCCTGTATCATTGTACTTGGGAAGAGGAGTGTTCAGAATCTTTGTTTCCTTTTTAGGATCTCCCACACACTACCTTTATATTCATCCTGCAGTATGAATTTGGTCCTCACAACTATATAAAATAATTCTTTCCTAAGAGAACTAACATGCTTCACTATGTAATCTTGTGAATTTAGCACTGGCAAAAGATAACAGACTTTTCCTTCCAAAATGAGTTAATTTATTAAAAGCACAGACACAGTAGACAGGACAGAAGTAGTAAATTGGGTAACAGAAAGACAGGGGCACAGTATTGTTACATTTAGTCTACAGCTATTAAAAATGTGTTTCACAGAGTCTACAGATGTACTGAATGACTCAATCTGTAATATCACAAGACATCTTTTGAGACTAAGAAGAGACAGATGCTGTTGGGCAATTTTTATTTGCTATTCCCAGAGACAAAATTTTCTCACAGCAGGAGAAATCACTGTAAAATGGGCCTATCAAGCTACACTTCAAGTTGGATCACATGATCAGTATTCAATCCATCTTGCCTGAAAGCAGAGACTGTTTCCTAGTACAGTGTACCTGAGGGAGGGAACAAGACATCAGTCTGAAAACAAGGCTGCTGGAACTATGGCAGAGACAGCCCACCCTTTAAACAAAGCACAGCTGATGTGCTAAAAACTAGTTTCCTGAAAAGAGACATTTACTTACTCGTTCATATTCATCCTTGGCTTTACTGAGCATTTCCAGGATGTCAATGGGCCTGTTTTCATTGCAGCCGTTGGTTCTGCTGGGACTTTTTCTGTCCTGGGAAACTTGCTGTGATCTCTGAGCTTCTTGTTCAACCACTCTGTAACAGGAAAGGAGAAACAGCACTTAAAAATTTTATCTAGAGTTAACATCTTGCAAAAAGCAGTATAGAAAAAGGTACTCCCAGGATATTAACACATTTCTTCTGCCTGGATAAAAATGTAACACTCATCTGACCAAAGTTACTCAGGATTTCATCTGCTACAAGGTTTATACAAGTCAAATTGTCAAATGGTCTGTAGGAATTTATCTCCAACTCAGAGAGCACTAGGCTGTCTCTCTCACACAGTCTGCCTGCAGTAAACGCCACTTCTATAAAACTCTCCTGTTTAGACATTTTTACAATAAAATACATGGACATCCAAGCATGTGATATACAAAGAACATCGGTTATAGTGTAGGTTAAGATATGTTGTTTTACTCTTTACTTCCTCACATGCATTTTTTCCATATTTAGCCAAATCAAGCTGTATTATTCAGCAGAATCTATTACCAAACAGTTCTAATGTAGGATGAGGCTGAGCATTATACAACAAAACTAAGACAGTGGGAAAGAAGAGAGTTGGCTCACACCAGATGTCTCTGGAGTCAGTCTGCAAGGAGACGTAGAGCAAGTGACTCCTCACAGCCCCATCTAAGACTCCAGAAAGAACAGCAAACCATTTTCTTCCTGAGCTGCCCTGTAGTCATTCCAATTACCTGCAGGCTGGAAACACGGTGTTCCTGCCAGCCTCTGGTGCCTACAGTTCACTCACCACTTCTATTCCACTCCTACTTGCCTCAAGTATCCAAAACTTCAATTCAAAAGATAGTTAAGGTACGCAGGAAGATGATGTGTACGTGGCTCATTTCATTAATAAAAGGAAAGGCAGCACATACTCCTAATCCATATGCAGTTCACAAGATATACATGGCTGTGCAACACGCTAGAGCTTATCCTCTTGAAATAAACACACACCAGCCTGTAATCCCTTCTTTTTTAAGCCTGCATTAATCAAATATGTTAAGAAAAAACAAGCACTGTAAACAGGGCAGAGCTCTGGAGCTGGCATGTCACTTGAGAACTTGCATGCTGTGGAACTGATGGCTGATGGGAGAGCCAAGAGGTGCCGTCACAACAATCACAGGCAGTGTCAATCATTCCAGCCTCCAGTTTCTTTGGGTCAGTTAGGATTCAGGACAAACTCTAGATTTTGTAGACTGTAATTATTTATATGCACCTCTATGTTGATATTTCTGAGGAAAAAAATAGTTCAAGTCTTGGAAGTTTCTTCCCAGTTTTCTAACAACCAAGCCCCTTTACTTCACTGGAGTTTAGTTGTGTTTATTTGAAAAAGGGTTAGATCTGGCTTTTAACAATTCAGTGTTGCTTTCAGAATTTTTAATGACACAAGCTGGTTATTTAACCAGCTTCTGGTTATTAGTGCAGCTTTCTCTGCAAGCAGCAGATACCTACCAAGGTAACTCACAATAGGGGGGCCAATCTACACCCTGACAATTTGCAAGAACTGCAGCATGTGCTCGTTTGGATGGAGCAGCTCAACACTCCACAAGTGTTTCTATGGTGACACCCTGAGAGAACATTTTGTTCACGCATCCCACATGGTCACCCAGTCCTGACTTAGAACCTGTCTAAACTCACTCCAGAACTAAGGATGAGAAAGAGCAATGTAAAAAAATCACAATACTTGGCTGTGTTTTTAAGTGTTACCATAATTCCATGAGAAAAAAGAAATACTTCAGCTAAAGGAAAAATTCTGGACAACTGAGGTCACATGAGTGCTGCCTGATAGGGAAGCAAAGGCTTCACTCGAGACTCTCTGTCTGCTCTTAACTACTTGGCCCAGGTTTCAATGAAACATCCTCCAGTGAAAACAGTACTAGTTGGTCTCATATTAAAACATCTTCAAGGAGTACATCCATTTCACAGAAATGTTTCACAAATATTTCTGAAAAACATTTCATAATATTTTTCTCTTGTTCATTATGAAGTGTTTGTTACCTTTTTAAAATTTATTTTTTTTGTTGAAGAATAACAGTTTATTTTCTCATGTAGATAATTGTGTGGTAGCTCCAACTCCATCCTGTCTCGTGCAGGTTACATTTAGATGGTGGTGAGGACTAAATGTGAAACTGCATCCCCAGAACTCTGAGATCTCTCCCAGTTCTAGCCTGCTGCCTGTATCTCAGAAGCCACTTTGAGTTGAAACAGGGTAAACCAAGCTTATCAACAAAGCTAAAAATACCTCCCCCTCCCTGATTTATCAGTCAGAATGCAATAGATTCACAAATATTTGAAACCCCCCAGTTTCTGTCCTACTTCTTCTAGAAAGCTTATCCCTCAATCAATCATCCTGACTTAACTAGAGCCAAGTTAATTGTTTCTGAAGTCAGGAGCTTGACGACTGCCATAAAATGTTTTCATTTCAGAAAATTCTAGAATTCTTTGAAAAAAAAAGAACAAAAAGTTCTGTAAATTGAATACCTTTCCTGGGGAAAAATAGCCAACTAATGCAAATGTGTACACTGAGCATGCTCTGTGTGCAATCCAGGATTAAATCTTTTTTAAGCAAGGCCTGCTGTTTCTTTCCATTATATGGGATAGTGGAAGAGGCACACATTCCTTCAGGGACACAGGAGCTGCTGTGACAGTTTGTTGAAGAATATCTGCAGTTAAAGCCTTGAAAACATACCTGGCACAACCTCACAAAAGGGCAGGGGGCAGGGAGAGAGTGTGAGAAGTGACGTCTGTGATTACAAAGCAAACACTAATTTGCTTTTCTTTTGAAAGATAAGCCACCAAAATATAAATGGATGGTCTGCAATCTTGTTAACTCAGTCTGGCACAATAAGGTCAAGTCAAACAGCAGGGAAGAGAATGCAAATCTCCTTGAAACCTTTTATGGTTATGTTTTTAAAGTGCTGAGGTACTATAAAGGCAGTACTCCTTCCTATCAGTGATTAAGAAAAACTCACCTTAACACAAGGGTGTAAATCTAAATTTCCACTCCAGACAAAGACAAAAAAACTGTGAAAAAAAAAATTAATACCCTTGGAAGAAAATGTAAATATTGCAATCCAGCAAAAAGGGTAAATGTGCTTTATGGACTGTTATGCTATGGCTGGACTGGTCTGTTACCTGATCCTTCTGAAGATTCCTGGGGTATCTATAGCCACGGTTTGTGCTACACTGGCCAGACTCGTTTAACACCAGATGGACTCAAGGTTTGCTCTGTGCCACTTAGAGCTGCACTGCAACTGTGCATGACAGAATAGCAACATGGCAGAATTTGAAGGGTTCAGCTTTCTCTCCCACTTCAAACATGAATCATGGCTGTAAATTAAAAGGTGCATTAAACAAAGAAACCCATGCCCTTCTGATGCTCTGTTTATAAAGAGGAGAGGCAAGCGAGGTTTTGTTATTTGTTTTGGTAACAATATCCAAGAGTCTGTTTCACCCAATGTTTTCCATTAACCCTTGTAGCCAATCCTTATATTTGGAGAAGCCAAGTAACAGCAAAAAGTTCAACCTAACTGGGAAGAAAAAAACAAAAGCAGGAAATGAGAACTGTAGGGGGTTATCAGGATAAGAAAAAAGAAAAAGAATTTAGAAAGAGATCTTGATATCAAAGTCTGTAATTTATGTTGTCTCACACTGCTTCTGTGTGGAAAAGCCAAAATAACTCACTGCAAAAACCCCAGATTAGGAAATCAGAATTCAGCTGAAAATGTCTACATTGTGACTGGTTTCCATATAATTTAATATTATATATTTCCATAGAATTTTGCAAGCCTTCAAGATGCCCTGACTTGCAAGCCATGTCATGCTGATTAAGGCACACAATAGTTAAGGAAGTTCAGGAAAGTGGTGTGATAGTGAAGGGAAGCAAAGCCAAGAACAAGGGATGAGAAGACACCCTGTGCAGGACATCTACATTTTGCATTTGTGGTGGTGCAACAACCCTGTCTCACAATTCAAGCTCCATCCTAAGGACACTGAAGATTTGCTTTAATTCTGGAAGATTCTACCGAGTTCTCCTGCTATTCTCCCATCTCTTCACTTTAGTCAGGAATAATAACTCTTAAAAAAAACCCAAACAAACCACAAACTCATACAAGAAACAGCCCACCACAAAACCAACCAAAAAAACCCCAACCATCCTTTATTTCATTATACTTTCTGTATTAGAAAGTCTTTTGCCAGCATCCCTATACAAAACAATTTAAAATAATGAACAGTGCTCATGTGTGCTTCCTTTGGAGAATGCCAACTAATACTTCAACTGATTCTTCTTATCACTTAACAGAAAATTTTAATCTTGGAGGTTTTTTAAAAACAAAACTATCATTTTCATTACTAAAAAACCTGGTACCAGCAAGAATGTTGTATTTCTCCGTTTTAGGAGAGTGAGGAAAAAAAGCAGGCAATTTAACAGGTTCAGATTTTTTCCTGTATTGCATAAAAGAATTACAGAATAATAAGGTCCCAGTACTTACTTAGCCATGAGTTTTGCTATTCGATGACAGTCATTCTTGTCGTAAAACCAAATACTGTAAATTGACACTAGAAAATAAGAAAAAAAGTGTAAGGCAAAGAAATCAAATGCATAGGAAAAAAGTAAAACCTAAAGTGAATTAGATCTGCAACATGAATTACCATCAATTTCCACTCAAATATTGTGTGTGACCAAGGACTAAAAAATAATCAGAAACAGCACCTGTGCAAACACAAATATCTTTAGTTAGATAAAAAGCAAGAACTACAAAATGCTGATACTGGTTGTAAATAAAAGTGGCAAGAAAATGAAGTTTGAACCAGCAAATGCCGTCTGCAGTTGCAGCCTCCTGTTTTGAATTGCTGACTTTACCATTTAAACTAGGCCAAAGAATATCCATTTTTTAAAAAAAAAAAAATTTTAAAATTTGTCAATTTCTGAAAATCAACAAAAATATTAGTTTGAATTACAGAATGACAGTTCACTCAGGGGCTCTCTGGAAGGTTCCCCATCCAGAAGGAAGCAGTACCAAAGCTCCAATCACACCGTCACAGTCACGGAGCAGCTTCAAAATAGACTCATAGTGACCCCTACTCTTTGAAGGTATCGAGGACAAAGCAATGAGGGCAAAGGGGTTCCAGCTCAGCAAGACACTCAGCCCCATTCTGGCTCTCAGAAGTAAAATTCCACTGCAAGTTGGCAGAGTTGGAGCCCGACTGCTGAGCTAAAGATACTCCATCAGAGGGAGAAACTTTGTCAGTAGTGCCATGTGCTGCTCCTTCCCCAGGAATCCCACTTCCAAGGGCCTCTCACCCCCACACGAGCTCATCTCCTCACTGTCCCACAGTTGTGTCAACATCACAAAGCTGCAGAACTTTTTTCAGAATTGTATTGAATCCAACCCACAAAACAGATTATTTTAAATCTTAACTCACCTACAAAGTTTGTCAATGCACAGTGTGCAAGTACATTAAAGGCAATTAGACACTTTATATATGTTACCATTAAAGTACTTTAATCTCTGGAAAAACGCTTTTAGCCTTGTAAAACTCACGTTTATACTGCAGTTCATGCTGATGTTATTATGAAGTTGAAATCACTGATTATAAAAATATAACTTAAAGTGAAGGAAAGGAATGTTTAAAAAAAATACGCAACTTTTTCCAGCCAGATGTAGATTTTTATTTCAAAGCAAAATTCTTTTCTTTCTTCACTCACTTTTTTTCCCTTCTCAAAATACTCAAAAGCCTCAAACCAGCCCACTCAAAAGTATGTCAAGCCATGGCAAAGAGGGCAATTATTTGCCAAATGTTTTCTCTAGATGTTCCAGTTATCCCAGGCTTACATCCTCAAAAACTCACTTACACACCTCATTTCTAGAACAATATCATAAGACAAATTCAAATTGTTCTTTTTCTTTTACTCAATAACAACTGTATTCATTTGGGTGTTTGTTTCTTTAGAGGTTCCAGCTCAAGACAACAAAGCTTTTCAAGTCATAAACAAAGAAATCAATGCACAAAAGACATAAGCCAATACAAAAGCATTTCATACATGCTTATGCTTATAAGCCATACAAGCCAATGCTTATGAAATGCTTGTATTAAAATTTACAGTTTAATACAACTGGATCGTCTGCTGCAGAGAAACCTATAAAAATTTCCAGTTTGAGCTACTTCTTTAGTCATGTAACATATTTTAGCACTGAAGAAAAGCTCTTTCCCTTCCCTGACTTCATTATCAGACCAACTGCCAAGAGGAGAAAGCTGCTTCAAAAGCATACTTGCTGAAGAAAGGAAGATAAGGAACCCATAATGATATCTTAATGGGACAAACGATACAGTCACACTCAATTCTGCCAGAAACAGGCCTACACAAGATCAGAAGTAGATCCAAATCTCCACTTAGTACTACTGGCAAGCAATTGTAGGGAGCCACTGCAGAACATCAACAATACTGCAAAGATGTAAAGCAGGTTATGAACAAGTAAACTCAGGCATTAACGTACGTCCAACAAGCTGGAATGTTTACCTTCCTCTTTCCAAAAGAGAACTTGTGTACTACCAGTTCAGCTCCCTTGCCCCTGGAGTGTGTGTGTGTCCCAACTGCACTACTATATTTGATGTATTTCTTACATGCAGTTCCAGCTATGAACAGCCTTATATCAGAGTTGGTTCTTACCAGTTCTTTTTAAATGTGATTTTTTTGCTACACCCAGCATAAACATTAGCTGAACATTCACATGTCTAATGGCACCTTTCTCCTTGCAGTTCTTTCAAGAGTTTCACCCAACAGAAGCCACTGAATTAAGTGACTCATTTTTCCATCTAGTCAAACACTTTACATCCAGCTTTTCTACAGTGAATGCTGGGCAGCATCTTTAAAAATCAAGTAACAGCAGCTTGTAATCATCATCAGCAATATCTTTCAGTAGGATTCACATTACACTTTAACACACCTGAAGTAATGAGTAACCCATATCACAGACAAATCAGGTTTCATAAAACTAAAACAAGTCATCTGTTATCTTTATCTTTGTTCTTCTCTCTGTCATTTTTATTAGAAACACTGACCCACAAATATTTCTCTAAACACGTAACAAAACTCCTCTCCAAACTTGATTGAAATTAAAACTTGATTGAAATTGCAATGGAAAACCAGAGAGATATTGAGAGAACAGAAGCATTGTGGAAGTCTTCTTGCTCAACCCTAACAGCTGGATGGTACTAAAAGGAAGGCCTTGGACTCTTCTCCATTGTGCTCCCACTGCTCCATGGGGCAGTCAGGTCACTGTGCCACTGCTCTGAGATCTGAACTAAGAGTGGGAAGAGTCAAGTGCCACTGCAACGCAGAAGCCTCACTCTTTAGCAACATGAAATGAAGCTGCGTCCCAGAGCTGTAGTTTCACTTCAGTTCTCAGTTTAAGTAAGCAGAGAGGCAGTGTCACCACCCTCACATTGCCACAGCTTTGCCATTAACTTGTTCGACCCCAATTCACCCCTCTCCCTGATGCCAGCTCGGTACATTTTAATCCAGACCAGCTCCTTGATGCTGTTTGTGCATCAGCTTCACAAATGGGCCATCTGAGCACAAGAGAGAGGACGAAGAACAGGGGCACACAGTAAGGCAAAACTGTTCAAATGGAACTGTGCCCAGGGGAGGTGCACATGGACTCATCAGCACTGCCAGTTTTGGAGATTCCAGACACTATCACTCTCTTCCCTTTGTTTGACCATTTGTGCAGATACAGCTTCAACTCATTCAAAGAGATGATTTGTTTAAAAGTTCACTTAACTAGCTGGAAGAGATGACAGAAGAGAGAGAAAAGTTTTATTTTTACAGTTCCAATTTAGGTGTTGCCATACAATGTGGCAGAACAACTGGAAGTGGAGGACAACAACCTTTCAAACTCTGGAATGAAAGGACTCCTATTCTAAAACCCCATCTCCCATAAAGAAATGCACGTATATGCATCACTTTACACTTCAAACACAGTTTAAGGCAAAATCACATAAAGCCATCTCTCTTAAAGCTTGTATTTCTTCTAGTTAGCTGAAGTACCACCTCTCCTCAGTCAGCTCTAGTATCTTCTCTGACATTCTTCATATTTATTTCCTCAGTGTAAGTATTACCCTGCCACATAGATTTATAAATCATTAGAATGAATAAAAAAAAGTTCCTTCCTTTCTTACTGTTTTGAGTGTCTTAGGCCATTTCACTAACACAGTTCACAGCACAATGCCACAAGCATTGGCACTGGAGCAATTCCTCAGGTGGCAAACAGCATCTGAGATCAGGAACACTTTAACCAACTGCCATCTGACAGGATTGTATGGAATGAGAAGGATTGCTGCTCTGCAACACTGAACCATGGCAGAAAGCCCCTCGTAGTTTGAGTGCCATCTTTCAGGTCAAACTGCATATTTTTAGAAGTTCTTAACAGTTTTCAATCATTCCTCCCCTCCTCCAGCTTGCATTGCTTCTTCTGCTCCAGAGATATAAAGAACAGGCTCCTTTCTTATCTCAGCCCAAAGCACTGGGTTAATGTGCTTGCTGGAGAGCCCGTCAGCCTCAGCAATCACAGAGATGTGTTACACTTAATGTGCTGCCAGCCGGGAACACAGGTGATAAGGAGAGACTTTCCTTCCCACTTCTGAAACCAGTTAGGAGCTCTTTCAAAGATTTTTAATACAACTCATTTTACTTTTGCTGTTCTGAATACAAGTTGTTTTCATCAATAATACAAGCCCAGAAGACAGCACTTTGTAACTGAGTTTTCCACTTTAACGTATAAAACTCTCCAAAATCCACCATTTTTGTATTACTAACTCTTATCTTGGATAGCAATAAGAAGCAAGAAACCCCACCCCCCCCAAACAAAACCCCCACACCAGACAAGGACCACTTATTTTAATACCCAGGTTTTATGCTGAGCATCTGTCTTTTCAGCACCATGGAAATCAACCTGCCTGACCTCCCAAGTGAATTGACTTGGATCAGAAACTCTTTTAATCAAGACCAACACCATCGATACAGAGGGAAAGTTATAAATGAGAAAGGCTCAGAAGAATTGTCCCTGCAGACTTTAACAGGTAAGTTGGCCATTCCTTAAAACTTTGCCTAATTTTCCTCTATGATTAAGCGAACTATCAGCTGTCAGCTCCAAATTCTCACATTATAGATTGAGTGAAAGTACTGAACTTTCAGACTGGACTGTTAGTACTGGCAGAACTGTATGCATTTTTTGAAACAGAGTTTAACATACTTTTCACAGAACACAGATAAGAGAAAACAAGCTTAGGTTCATTTAAAAAAAATAGGTCAGTGGGATTCAGTGCTTCATGAACAAATAGGCTGAATACTCTAAAGAATGTGCAGGTGTCCAGCGGGAAAGTTCAACAAGGATCAAATATACCCAGCAGACTAAGAAATAATAAATGGCATATTAAGTATAATCTAAAAATTTTTACCTTTTAAGAGGAATTCCGAATTTAAAATATGTTACAGTAAGACAAACAACCTCTTTTCGATTTGTTAATTTCTTGCTTTGTTCACCTTTGGAGGTATTTATTTTCATTAATTCTTTATAACAATGAAAAGCAGAATACTTTTATTCTATTTACTACTGTAAGTGGTATATTGTCTCACAGCTTGTTAGTCACACCCTCTATCATTTTTGCTATAGGGTCTGATGCCTCACAAGGAAGTGGTGTAAGCTTTGGGGCAGTGTTATAGCAAACTTTTAGGGTCCAGTGTTCTTTTGGGGCTGGAACCACATTGTGTAGACAGAATAATTTTGACAACAAAATTTCTGGAGTTGGGAAAGATTTCCCCATTAACAGCTAAAATATGAGAAGGGTATGATGGGGGGGGGAACCTCACAGTGTAATGAATAACAAAGTGACCCAAATGTCTTCCATTTTGCTCAGAGAGCACACCAAAAGGTAGACAGAAGAAAGGTACTGTATCACTTGCTCTGTTCTCCTTCCAGAATGCCCATGAAAGTTCCCTTCATGCCCCACCCTGTAAAAACAGGAGGATCCCCTCAAGAGCCATGACAGATAAATCAGTAATTTCTAGTGAGAATAAAATAGCAATTAGCTAGTCTTGGTCTAAGTGTGAAAAAGCATCTGTGCAACTGGATAAAGCACCTCATGTCTACAGCTTAACAAAACTAAGTTCTTACATGCAGCAAACTAACAGTGTCATTGTGTAGTAACAGTAGGTATTTGAAGAAATCAAACTACAAAAGAATGGTAAAACCCCACCAAAAATATTATGATCTAGCATGACAGGCAAATCATTCTTACAGCCTCCAGCCAAGCAAAAACAATGGTTGTGTGCTGCTTGCAGAGTTCCTCACGTACCTTGTGAGCAGCTCTGCACGGGCTGGAGCACGTTACTCGCTATCCTCAGAACAGCTCTCGGGCCGTTTAAGACAGAAATGCCAGAGGTCTGATCTGGTGCCTGTAACACACTTGGCCCTTATTATCTTTTTAAGTCAAGACAGAATCCCAGAACAAAGTGAAAATGTGGAGTTTATAAAACAGTGGTATCCTATTCAGTTACAAATACTGTTGAGACAGAATCTTCCCCAAATATGCGGTGACATAATTTTGCTTTGATCATCTACTATTTGTACCATGCCCTGATGAAGTGTAAATCTCTGTCACTGATCCTGTTACAACCGAACTATACAGGTGCAAAACATGTTTCTCTGCCCAACAGCAATATTAATAAACGTGATTTTAGGTTTTTACCAAGTAGTTTGAACCATCCCCCATCTGTAAGCTAAGGAAACAGAATCAGCAGTTCAATCACTCAGCAGTCTTAACAGGACAACTTACCCTTAAGAGTTTGTAATGATCCCAGTACAATTCTTCAAGGATACAAAAAACTCCACTCTACAAGAAACAGGGCTGTTGCCAACACTGTGTAAGAGGCAGCTTTTCCTTACACAAGCCAGCAGTCCATCCTCTTTCAGTCATTAAGGGATCTCAGCAGAACTTCACTTAGAGACACAGCACATTAAGCCCTCAGAGATACACATTACATTAACCACTAGCTTAAAGCTCTGATTTGAATTAGTCCCAAAAATGCAAAGTTTTTCATGCCAGCAGGCAACTGAGCAGAAATGGACATCCTTCCACATGAAAAGAACCTGGATAAGAATCCCCTGATCTGCCCATACAAATAAAATGTATACATGTTGGAATTTGTCTGCAAATTCAAACCAAGCCTGAAGGGGGTTTTAGTTTGGTCTTGTTTTTTAAAGTTTCACAAATGCTATGCTGATAGAGGCAAACAGCTTTAATACATTTCCATTGTATAAGTTGTTTTTTTCTAGCTAATTCAGGGGATAGAGGCCAGAAAATTTGAAAAGTCTCATGTAAGAAAGAAAACCCCAAACACAACAACTAAATGCACAATGTAGGGAGTTAGTGGTGTTGAAATTATAAATGATAAAAACCTTAGATGCCATTTTCAATGCTTTTCAGCTTGTGTTTGAACAAAGTGAACACAAGCAGAGGACACAAAAACTCATCTGTTTATTTGTGGCACTCAGGAAAATAACCAATGACATACTAACTACATTGAACATTTGCAGTCTGCAGTTGGTGGAGACAGGATGGAGTGATGAAAGAAAGGATAGTTTCTGACCAGAGTCTTTTAAAATGACAGTGGGAAAGAAATAAGAGGAAAAAAATACTCTTGGTTATCTCGGAATGCAATTATTTCCCACAACCAGTCTATAATTTTTCCTTGCTCACTTTTGCATAAATTCCTTCCTTCCTCATACTCTTCTATGTCATCTCTATCCTAAGTCCCATGAGCCTCCCACATATCTTATAAACCAATGTCCCACAAGGAAAAGGAGAGCTTTTATCAAAGAAAGGAAAACAAGCAGCTTTGGGGTTTCTAATGAACTCACACATGGCTTATACCTTCTCTGATTACAACCACCTGAAAGGAGGTTGTAGCAAGACAGGGGTTGGTCTCTTCTCCCAAGAAGCAAACAGCAGGACAAGAGAAAATGACCTCAAGCTGTGCCAGAGAGATTTAGATTGGATATAAAGAAAAATTTCTTCATGGAAGGGGTTGTCAAGCACTGGAACAGGCTGGAGTAGGGAAGCAGTGGAGTAGCCATCCCTGGAGGGATTTAAAAGCTGTGCAGCTGTGGTGTTTAGGGATGTGGGTTAGTGGTGGACCTGGCATTGCTGGGATAACAGTTGGGCTTGACCTTAAAGGTCTTTTCCAACCTAAACAATTCAATGATTCCTTCCTTAAAGTGATCCTCTATTCACTCCCACTGGTGTACACCTGGTGATTCCACAGCAGCTCCTGATACCATCAGCAGCTTCAACAAACAAATTAATCAACTCCTTGCTTCCCATGTCACCATTTTCGCAGCTGCAATTCTGAAATGACACCTTTGCACCATGAGAACCCTCTGCTCTAAGGGGTGACTTCTATTTATCTATTTAACCTCATGTAAAGTTCATTTACCCACATAGTCCCTCCTCCTCTTTGTAAGGGCTGCAAAATTTACACTTTGAGCTCTTTGGAGCACCAGCACTTTCAGTGTGTACCCAACTGGAACGTAGTACACTGGGACTGAGGCTCAACTGATGACACAAAACACTGCTAGAATTCAAAATGCAGCGAGAAGATCCCAAGTACTATTTCACCACTCATCTGTACCCAAACCTGCTGGAGTCTAAACTGCAGGAAATTTAGAACAGACAACTATCTGCTGAGTCCAAAGCCTACTGTGGAGAAAGAAACCTTCAACCTAGAGCTGAGCAATTTTCTCCACTTCTTTTAGAAGCTAATGATTAATATTTTTTTTTGCTTGCAAGAGGAAGTTCTTAGATCTGTCCTTGCTGTTAAATACTTTCAAAATCTATCAATCTTCATTATTCTTTCTTAGTTTTTATTAATCCTATAGCACTGTGTATATGTTTAGATTACACCTATCAGATCATTACTTTAAAAGAATATAGCAATATTGCCCTTTGACAGTATATTCTCTTTTTATTGAAAACAGTGATGATCATAATATACTAGCACAGCTATTTAAGTACATTTAGCCCTGCAGACAGAAAACATCACCAGACATTTCACTGGAACCTGCCCCATTACATTATACTTGAAACAGATATCACAGTAATCAGAAGTGATCAAGGTTATAAAACAGAACCTCAAGTTTATATGGTTTAGAGAAAGTTATACTCACAGCTGGCATTTCTGTAGAGAAGAAAAGGTTCATGGAGCTGAAACTCCAAATCTTTATTTACTGGCTCAACCAGGTTGTGCATGTTCAGTCGATTCACTATCGTAAAACCATGATAAGGAGAAGCTGACCTTGTTTCAATGAAAACAAAACCAAGGATTAATATCTTCATTGACATAAATAATTTTCTGAAACTGAGTTATGAATTAATCTTCAAATCTCCATTGCTTTATTAGGTGGAGCTTTAGCAGTCCTGAAGCTCTCAGTTTTTCTTCTATGCCATTTCTTGGCTGCCACCTAATTTCAATTTCAAACTACACTTTCCTCAAAGCAGGATTAGGATTAGCATTACAGTTCTACACTGTTAAACTGCTGAATCAAAGATATGCCTCTAAAAAAACCCTATTCAAAAAAACTAGGGCAGGTCCAGCATTAAAATTCAAGTGTATTCAGTACTTGACATGAGACAGTTTTGAGGCATTTTAGAATTCTTTTATTAAAGGAGAAAAACCCAAACCACTTACACAGCATCATTTCCCTTACTGTAAATACACATGACAATAAAAAAGGGCTGCTCTCTTAAATAGCATGAAATGCACTTCTGGGGGAACCATAAGCAGTAATTTCTTCCTAAAGTGAAACTCTGAAAAGAAGGAGTTACCCCGGTGTCCTCAAAGTACATATTAAGTTATTCAGAATTATACTGCTTAGTGAAACTATTTTTATTATCTAGATATTTGCTGGACACCAGGTTCAAAAACACCAAGCAAGCACTGGAAGTTCAAGATAGTTTTCGATGTGTTTTCTCTTGCTGCATAAATGTCATGTCAGCACTCAGCTGTGCCTGTAAGCAGTCACATAATCAACAACACAGGATGATGAAGGCAGGGTAAAAACCAGACACAATTAGCTAGTAAATATTAAGATTTCTTTAAAAATGTGGCCACCTTTACCTAATAATAGACAACAAAAACCCATCAAGAGCTTCCAAGGAAAGGGTAAACAATCCTTACCATCACAGGTCAGTCTTTTAATGCACCTGACAGAACCTGTTTGAAATCATCAGCTAGTTACACAGAAACCCTTTGCTTTGCTTTTTGGGTTGGTTTGTTTTTTAAATTTGGTTCACTTTCTTACACTAAGTATTTCGAAGCTGGGAGCTGAAGTAACAGGAACTGGCTACTCAAATCCCTTCACAGTGCTAGGACAAAATATTGTAATGACTGAGCTATGACAGTCTGCTTCAGGGTGGCTTTAGCCAGCATTATTTCTATTTCTTATATTCAACAAAGTTTTATTTCATTTAGATTTTTTATTTGCTTGTTATTTAAAACTTAAATTCATGATTGGTTTTACGTGCTCTCACCCCTTTCCCCCGTCCCATAGAACTGGAAATTTCTTTCATGGTTTTCATAAGGAAATCAAATAGTCCCTAAAACCAGACACCAGCACAGCTCCAGCTTTTGGGCAACTTCATCCATTTACAAAAATTTTTGCCATTTTCCAGAAGTAGGTTAGAACAGATTATTTAATTTGTTATGTCTATTGTTTTCATAATCAACTTCATGGATTTTAGGAAACAAAGGACAACTTGGCATTTAACAAACTGTAACAAATTATACTGGAATAACAAAATAACCTCAACAAACTGGGGTTTTATGTAGGTTTATTAAGTTTTATGATTTCTCAGCAGTACTTTTAGGGGCTTTTGACAGAGTTATTTACCCATGTGCAGAGTTTATTCTTTTTGAAAATGTATACAGCTGTTAACAGCTGGACAAATAAGGAACTGTGAGTATGAAAGCTCTACATGGAGATATCTGAAGTTTGTTTTCTTAAGGCAGGAAAACAAACATCACCACCCCTATATCCCCCCCTAAGGAACTCCAAACCAACAAATCAACCCTTACCTTCTGTACACAAATAAGGTCCCTTCTATGTCGGTTTTCTCCTACAAAAGACAGCAAATGCATTTCAGGGACGTGCTTGTTCACACAGTTATGTAGTTATGTTTTAGAATGTTTTAATTACAGAGACTTACAATAGCCTTAACTTTCCATAAGGTTTGACATCACAGGGCTAAAAACGTTCTCCTGTTTTCAGAAACTACCTATTTTTTCTTACAAAGACTAGGGCATTAATCTCACTTCCAAAAGCTTTCTCAAGCTAACGACCTGATGATGTGATCTACAGTATTCCACAACCTTCCAAAGCTGATCCTGTAAGGGCAGCCTTTAAATATCGGACAGGTTGTTTTCCACAGTGTTACTGAAAGGGCAGCAATGACAGCACAGCCAGAAACACCACAACAGAACTACGGGCCACGGCTGTTTCATACTCCAGTTTCCAGAGCAACCTGCACCACGGGCTTGTGACCCACAAGCACAGAAAGTTCGTGCAGCTCCAGAGCTGAAGTTCCTCGAATTTCCACTTCTGTAGTTGTGTGACAAAACGGGCGCTCAGGCCAAAACTTGTGTTTTAATGCAGTGACGGACACTAACACCTCTCAAATCCCACTCTTCCCGAATCAGGGCGCTGCGCAACAGGCGAGAGCAACAACAACAACAAAGTACAATGAGAAAAGAGAAAAAGCCAACGGGCACCAGGAACCAAAGCGCCTCCGGCCCCAGCGCTGCCCCGTCACTGCGAACCCCCGAGCGCACACACGGCCTCGCCTCTCCCTCTCTCTTCTTCTCCTCCTCTCCCTCTTCTCTTCCTCTCTTCTCCTCCTCTCCCTCTTCCTCTCTTCTCCTCCTCTCCCTCTTCCTTTCCTCCTCCTCTCCCTCTTCCTTTCCTCCTCCTCTCCCTCTTCTGTCCTCCTTCTTCCTCTCCCTTCTCCTCCTCCCTCTTCCTCTCTCTCCCCCCTTCTTTTTCCTCTCCCCTCCCTCTCCCTCTTCTCTCCCCTCCCTCTCCTTTCCCCTCTCCCCCAGCACAAACACCCTTCGGGTTCGTCACCTCCGCGCGGTGAACGCGCCCAGACCCCCAAAGTTCCCCCGGGCGAGCGCAGCCCCGCGCGGGCCCCGTGCGGAGGCGCCGGGCCGGGCGGCTGCCGGGGCTCGGGCACGGCCGGGCGCGCCCCGCCGGACTCACCCACTCGTTGTCCTTGGGGCTGAAGCTGTAGAGCGCGACCTGCCCGGTCACGTCGGCGATGCCGGTGATGAAGGGGTCGTGCTGCCGCAGGGCCGCCAGACTCATCTCCTGCCCCGCTCTGCCCGCCGCCTCCATCTTGGATCCGGGCAGCCCCGCCCGCGCAACGGCGACAACCGCCACGGTGCCACGGCGTTCCGGCCCCCCCGCCCGCCGGAACAACCGGCCCGCGCTTGCCGTTCCGCCCGCCGGGCGGGCCCCACACGCCCAGAACCCTTCGGCCCCTCGGGACTGCAGCCCTTCCGGGGACCCTCTCCCACCTCCGGACCCGTAGCCGCTTCCCCGGGGCTCCTCTTCACATCTGCGGGCCCCGCAGCCCTTCCCCGGGGCCGCTCTACCCACCTCTGGGCCCGTGCGGTTTGGGCACGGGGCCGTGCCCCCTCCGACCCCCGTGGGCAGGGCCGAGGGCTGGGTTCGCATCGTCGTTGTTATTTATTTACTCGCGTTAGTAATACAGAGGTTTCTGAGTTTACTGCGGGCTGGCCTGTGAATGTGATGAGCTGGGTCATCTGGATAATTCACTGGAATTCTCTTCCAGCACTGTGGGGGTGATCCTGTGTGTTCCTGTGTTTGTCGTCGTCTGGTATATGAATGTTTCACAACCTGCAGTGGGATAGGGAGTTTTCAGTATTTTAGAAGAATTTTAGGATTGATTATTTTTCTCAGGTACAGTAAACGTACATACGTGTGTTTCTCAGGTATAGTAAAGGTACACAGGACAGTAAACTGTTCTATGTAAAGGTACAGACCTAAGTAGTACATACTTATATTTGCTGGAACAAGAATAAAGGAATGTGTAGTGCACTGAGATTTTTCCTGCAATTTTTTTTCAGTTATTAGTGGATTTTAGGAACAAGAAAGTATAGAATGTTCATCACAACCAAGGTATGAATTACTTCTAAGATAAGATCCCTAGAATTCAACTGTCTTTGTAGGATTTTGTTCAATTTGACAGAAAACAACCAGGATTGTAAATGTCTAAAAAAAGTTTGTTGCAAGATTCTGACCCTTCTAAGAATGTAAAAAATTTCTGACAGTTTCTCACAGGTCATGTTGTTCTCCATTGCAGGTGGACAAATTTTGGATTTTAATTCAGCTTTACAGTATAATCCTCTCCCAGAATGGCAGATATTTAATGCAAAAGCTATAACTGAGGGTCCAGCATTGTATGATTCTGTCTTTCTGAGAAGTGGAAATGTCAAGTTCCAGTATAATATCATGATTTAAATTATAAAAGTAAAGTCTCTTGGGCAGAACGTTATTTTACCTGTTTTTGATGTCAAACAGTTCTAGTATAAAGTAAAGAGACATTTTTTAGAAAAAAATGTAATTTGGACACAGAACTTGTCTGTCCTTCATCCTGGACCTGAGCATCAGTAAAAAAACCCAATAAAAGTCATACAGAATATCTTAGAGCTCTGTAACTCTTCCATCTCCTTCTAATGGTTTTACCACAGGAGGGCCCAATCTAATCCATAAAATTTGGGTTTTCACTGGTTCTGTTAGTGGTATTTGTCCACCAAGGGCCAACAGTGACATGATGTCAAAAAATACTTTGATGTAAAGTGTCCTGTTATTATTGACTAACAGTCTTTATTAGAAAAAGACAATATGAGAAAATTAAAGTTTGAAAACTATTTTATAAAGAAACAGCATTCTAAGAGCTCAACTGAAACGGAAAGAAAATGACAAAAACTTTTTCAAAGAGCTGGTTTTAAACAGTGTCTTAAACATCTGTACCAAGTTGGTCCTTTCTGCAAGGTTATTGTAAGGCAAAGGTATCTTTCAAATTAAAAAGCTTATTGGCAAAGTGTGTGAAATCTCTTCAGGTGTGAGAAGTCCTTGACTTAAACTGAAACACAGGGAGCAGCAATGAAGAAAGGGAAGTGCTGGGGTTTGGTTATGGTTTTCCTCTTCGTCTACTAATTCCAGTTCTGCATTTCACTGAATTTATCCTCCCTGCCCATCCCACTGTTGTTGCATTAGAATCAAATATTTTGTATCAGAAGTGATCCCTGGCCTGTCATCTGCTCCCTCAGCCTTGAAGCACACCCAGGTATGTCGGATACTCAGAGCCAAGCCCTGACCTCGGTATAAACTGCAATTACTTGTAGCTGCTCAGGCTTGTTTTGTGATTATTGTATGTTACAAATTTCCCTGGCCCTCCTCGGAGCTGTGCAGGAGTTACTGCTGGGGAAATGTTCCCCTGTCACTCCCTGTTGCTGATTCTTGCACGGAACCAGGCAGAGGTGGGATGATGCACATAATGCCCTTTTCATGTTTTCTCTGTGAGTGGGACAGATTCCATTTGTGTTTCAACAAGTGAAGAGAACATTGTGTTCTATATTTCGGTTATGCTGAAGACATTTTCAGTTTCTGCTGAGGTTTTATAGGACAGCATATGATGATTTGTTACCCTAAGTACTGTTATCTACTTAATATATGTTAATATTAAGGTAGGTGAAGCAATAAAGACCTTCTTTTATGCTTTCAGTTGCTTGTGACAGCGTGGCTGGGACTCTGTTGATGTTTACTCCTGGCTGTTGACAGTTCTGTTAAACAAACTCTTTTTCTGGCCCCTGTTTTTACACAGTAGATTATTTACATATTCTCAAAACTTATTTAGGCTGCAGTCACTCCTTTAAATTTCCTACAGAAAAGTCTCCTTCAATTTGCAGTCCCGTTGTTTTTCCCTTGTTAGCTGAGTATCCTCAGCAAAGAATATATTGCTGCTGTTGGGATGAGGGAGAAGAACTCCCAGTCAGTCAATTTTCTGTTATTACTCCAGGCTGAATTAGGGTCCAGCGAGTCCTGCAAATCTGAGTGACTCATGGAACTCATATTCTATCTTTGCAGTTTTCCACTTGAAGCAATTGCCAGAAATTCCTGGTTTTGTGAGCTGCTTTGCAAATAACACCTTTCTGTTGTTTTGCTTGCAGGTGTTTTTCTTTAAATTGTAACTGGAGGCAATTCCTGGGCTATTGATTAGTAATTGGATTATTATCTCTGCCTTAAATTTCAGCGATGATGGCTGTAATTTTACAGACTTTTTATTTGGGCTTGGTCGTAGATAGTTATCACCAGGACAATTTGCCCTTTCTCAGTCAATAACTTAACTTTTATTTTGCATTTTAGTTCTCTGAGTGGTTAAAAAAAAAACAAGGGGGAGGGGATGCTAGAATTTTGTAAGGGCTGCCATTTTGTTTGAAAAATCCTTTCATTTCACAGGAGGCATTACTCGAGCATTTTTATTTGCTTGTTATTGTTACAGCATTTACTTCAGTTGTATTCTTTGGTCTGCTGTGAAAGCACATTTGATCTTTGCCATTGCTGAGGCTGGTGGTTCCTGAAATTCGGTGTCCTTGCTATACCTCACTGTACAAATAGTTCTTCCTGTGGTGTTTTTCCAGGCTGATAAAGGACAACTGAAAACTGCTGCAGTTATAGATTATGACCCACCTCTGTAAATTGGATTTGTAAAAATCTCACCTTTGGAGGATTAACACAGAAAGGGTCTTGCATGCTACTCAAGAACAGTTTATACCAAATTTATGACATAAGGAAAAGTTACCTTCCCTGGCAGTTGTTTTGATCCTTAGGAGTGGCAAGTGGATCACAAGCCTTTCATAGGAGTTCCAGCTTGCCATGTGCTCCTTCTGCACTAATGCTTCAGCCACAGGAACCTTGTTGAATAATCATGGGTACAAATATTTATTTCTAGCTGTGAAAAATCATTTTCCAGCTCTGGAGAAAACTTTTCTAAATTGTAACACATTAAAGTGGTATAAATAGCTGTGAATACAGTCCAGAGGGATCCAGAGCAGTGTTAAGCTAAACAATTAAAATCCATGGGATGGGATGGTGTGTAAAGGGAATTCTGGTTTTGGAGGGCTATCACACTGACCTACCCGCTGTAGACTTGGGATTTTTTCCTGTTTCCATGCTGTACATAAAATGTGTAACTCCTTTGCATAGTATGTGAGTTTTGCAGGTGTTGCAATACTGAAATCTGAATTTAACCAGGAATTTCTTTGGTCTCATTTTGTCAGGAAATAGTTGCAGGAATGATTCTGTAAAACAAATACATGACTTTCTTTTTTTTCTTTTTTTCTTTCTTTTTCTTTTCTTTCTTTTTTTTCCTTTTTTTTTTCTTTTTTTTTTTTCCCTCCTTATTAAACAAAGTGTTCTAGTAAATATGAACCAGGATGCATTAAAAACAACAGCATTTTCTGAAATAACGTAATTTTAAAGAGTACAAGGGAAATGACATAAAAATGCATTTAGCCATCTATGTGTTCACTGCCATTCTGGATGTATTACCAACAGTTATGGTCCTTCTAAGAGATGCTAAAAAAAACATTGAAAGAAGCAAAGAGAAATCATTAAATTACAGTTACGATTCAATAAAAACAAGAGTCTGAAAATATTCAATTTATACAATAAAGCTGTTCCCACAACAACAGTGTAAGAGGGTGAAATAGGTCACAGGCAGCCCTCCTTACATTGCTCAATAACATTAGAAGGATTAATCATTTATGGATTATCTCCTAGAAACAATGATCTGGTGCAGACAGGTAATCCAATCTCCTCTATCTTTCTAACCTGGTTTGCCGTTTCA